TCGATAATGCGTCGATTGGATGATAGTGAACGACTTGGAATTTCTTAGGATTTTCGTGTCGCATCCCTTTGCACTCCCCCTACACTCGGTTTCTCGCACTAGGGAAGCTATCGCGATCGACTACTGCAGCTAGGTTGCAAACAATATGGGGTGAGCTTCCGCTTGGGTGCCGCAGAGCACAATTCAGGGTTTCGGGGAGATTTTTGTAAGCACGAATCCTCTCTCATGCTAATTGAGACTTTCATTTCCTTTCTCTCACTTCAATTTTGACTTTTATTTTGTTTTTCATGCTATTCTCGTTTCTAACAGCGGTTGGAGGCGTCGATTGTGTTAGAAGTGTCGTAATTAATTTTGCAAGCTTCTAAAAATATTTTTTCAGGAAATCAGTGAGAAGGTTTGAGAAGATAGGAAGGAGAGAGTGAAATTGGTGATTTTAGAAAGACGGATTTATGCCGAAAAGCTCTTTTGAGGTATGTTTTGACAATTAAATTATATTATTGAGTTAATGCATGCTATAAACCAAATTTTATGAATTCTTATGCTGTATATGAGCCTCAGGTTGTCTGTCCGAATCGACGAGCTTGAGACGAGCGTGTGGGCACTTATTGTAGGGCTGTTCCGTCAAGTCAGGTGAAATAATCTTGTGCTAATTTGAAAAAAAATAATCTTCTATAGGTTTTCATATGATTTCTATCTTGATGCAGATGCATTTAGAATTTTTGGCATATTTTGAATGGATATCTGCAACACGTTTACTTTTCTTATGATACATATAATGCTATAATCAGCTTATGGCTATATATGATTATGTTTATGATATGAATCTCTTGCGAGTATTTATTTATTATGCTCCATCCTTATGATTCATGTAGTGCTTTATAAATGCTTGATCGAGTAATGAAAATGTCGCAAGGAATGTTATGGGTAGACTATTACATGAGTGCTTGCAATCATATTATGTAGGAATGCATTCCTGACTCATCATTTATGCAAGGAAAAAACTTTGGGAACTGTTGAGATTATGCGATGACAAAATGTTAGAGAACCATGAGTATCAGGGGGCTATTGATAACTGTTATGGTGGGGGAAACCCAATCTTTATCGATAATTTATATGGCCTTTGGGGTAGGATAACGACTCATGATGACGGGACAGAATAGTTGAAACTTATAAATTTACAAGTGACATTATTATGAAATAATACATATGAAATGATATTGTTATGATTACATACGATAAACAGTTTACGAACATGCTTTTGACTATACTTATGATTTCATATTTGTCATGTATAATTATATAGTAGTCCTGATTTTTACACCACCTACTTTTATTTTCATGTTATCTATGATTCTAACAAGTTGTGATTTGTGTATGGATGTGTAATGGCATATGAGCATGCACATTATTTTATGTGTACAAAATCATATTTTAGCCTTAATTATTTCTCTGAATTTGTTGTTGCTCACTCTATGTTGTTGCCTCTAGGTAAGAGCAACGAGCACCGGGGCGAGTAGTCAGGTGTGATTGTATGGTTTTTGCATGATAGAGTCATTCCTTGATGGTACTAGTGGAGAACACTAAGGTACCCGTGCATGTATATAAAAAAAATATTAATATTGAAGTGCCCTACTTGGTACAAATTTTTAGACGTCGCTCCTATGAAGCATAAATATGATATGATATTAATATGTTATTGATATAGTAAGACTCTTTGAATAGCATAAAATATTTAGTGTTTCATAAAAAAGTTAAACCGACATGCATATTTCTTCTTTAATGATTTTTGGGCCTTAGAAAATCAGTCCATAAAATATTTATTGAAGTCGGAGAATGATGAGAAACTCCCAAGAGGGAGATGAGAAAACCATCGTAGCGGTGCCTTCTTAAAAATAGTGAAGAATTTTTGACATTTGAGCATATCACAAATGCTGCGAACAATTATCTACTTCAGCAATAAGGTTGGCTGAATCTAACTTTTCTTTTTATGAATCAAAATGATGTATTTTAAACATGGGAGGTGGCTGCATCTCTTCGAATTTCACGTAAAATTCATTGGTTGGGTAAGGTCAGCACTTCATGGCAAGGAATAGGTGTTTTGGCAGTAATTTTTTTTTGAGAATTTTTTCAATACGTAGAATGGAGATAATGGCTTCTAGGTTAGGTTGATGTCTGCGAATCAGAGAGCTGACAGATTTGACAAAAAATTGATCGATTAGTCCTTGGATCATCTTTGATCTTCCATTTGATTGAGCTGCTCGGAAGCTACATAATCTTGCTGTTTGATTTGTGCAACCTCACTCTTTCATATGGGCTTTTAATGGCTTGACCTTTTTGTTCTTGACATCTTCTGCCCTCACTACAGTTTTTAGGATATTAAATCCAAATTTCTCTGAATTTGACGCTACCTTTATTAGTTAGTATGGTTTAAGCCTAAAAGAGAGAATATAGAGGGAAATCTAAAGTGAATTTTTGTTTTTAAATTTTATTGTTAGAAAATATAAGAGTGATGTGACATGACCATGTGCTAAGTTTATCATCTAACCTCTTATTTATTGGTTCAGGTTAAGCTTTAACATCTGCAATTAGGATGCTTAAAAAAGTTTACATAAAGTAACTCAGTGAAGCATGTTTTGAAGTAGGCACGTAGACAAGTTTGGTTGATTGATAACTATCTAAGAGTTTGGTGACTTCTATTGGGTTTTAACTTTGATGCAATCTCTATGAGATGAATTCTCTTAAAGTGTTTAGTACGTTTGAACTAGTTAGCTAAGATCTTTTAATTTTTCTTTTTTTTTGTGAATCAGTGAGTCTGATATATTGAAGGGTAGGGACGGGAACTAGACAAAATGTGAATTTTTGTCGACTTAAGACTTTGGGCAACTTTAGCCTTATGGAGTAAGTTGGTTAATTGATTCAAGATTGTAGATTTGCTAAGCTTAGCTATCTGACTAGATGAATGTGCTTGTATATGCATATAAGGTAGTTGTCATCTTGAACTTGGTTTTTTTGTTTTTTTTTATGACTTTTCATAGTTAATATTGCACATTTTTCAGGTTTAGACATTACGAATTTGTATTGTGATGCATAATATTCAGTTATTTATACTTAAATAACAAATTTTTGCGCAAGAATTATTAAGAAAAAAATTCGTCATAATCACATAAATAATTGATTATTATGGTTCGTTAAGTATGATTAATTAGGTCAACTTAGGGGTTCACATTTGGCGGATCCCCCAAGATTCCCCATCCTTTCATTATTCATCTGGAATATAATTTGAAGCTAACACAGGCATTTCATGCTAATAAAGAATATCTAATGCTCTTCTGATTCAATTGTCATACTTGATTTCATAGGAGATGTTTGGAAAGCCCTACTGGATGGTGCGGGAGCATTTGTACAGGAATTGGACCAGGAAATCATGTTATCTCTTACAAAATTTGCTGATCAGCTACCATCAGTAATTGGACAAGTCTGATCGAAGATATTCATACCTCTTGAATTGAATTACCTTTATGTTGATTTATATGAAAAATATCATTTTATTTTTTGTTTTATTATGAATCATTTAAAAGAACTTAATATTGCCAGGTAAATGAAGGCATATCAGAATTCAGACCTACACCCCTTGAGAACCGTGAATTTTTCAAGAAGTCCTACCGGGTACCCCACACCCTGCTGGTAGGTGATTCGGTCAAATAAACTTGAATGCCTGTTTTTCTTGTCATTACAATGCAGGAAGTCCATTTCAGGTCAAGTTCAATATTGATGCCTTTGATGAAAGTGACGTTCTGGAGGAGATCTTGAAGCCTAGTGTTGAATATTTCGGCGGGACTGTAGAAAAGATCACTTTATCTGGAAATCATCTTACCCCATGCATACAGGTATCATTTTTCTGCTCAATGGG